ATTATACAGGGCATTTAAGAGGAAATTATTCTGGTTTTTATATAACATGCAATATGATGATTATAAAAAAAAATTCTTGCTCTTTTAACTTCACTATGTATTTATATTTATTCTATTAATTCATTTATTATTATAAAGGTCTTAATGCATTAAATTGTTCTAAATAAATTATTTATGGTTTTTGAAAACAAATCAACTTATATTAATTTTCAGTCATAAAACATACCAAACAAAATCCCTTGTTCTAGGTTTGCAATAACATATAAGCTGTTTTAAATTTGAACGATGTAAATTCATTATTTTGTTGTTCATCATTTCTATTTTTTTTAATGTTTTAAAATTTTATGATTTTTTCAGTATAATAGTATGTTCAATACTTAACAGTATGATTGTATAACTTGTATCAATATCACTTTATCAAAATGTGCTTTTTTTGTTTGAACTAGATCAATATGTTTTCTTTAATCTATTGCAATGTGATTCCTTAATGACCGTAATGACCGAAATTTTTAATATATAAATAATTTTAAGTAAAACTCCACTAAAATTACTACTGGATATCAAGCTGGTCGTGGAATGAGAAATCACTAATTTTTTGGATAGCTATATGTTTTTTTAACTTTTCGTAGGGTAAGTTATAGTAATGTGCCAAAAATCGAAAATGAAAATTTTTGCATATCTTAACATTTCAGAGGTTTCTGAACATTTAGGCATACCTCAGAAAAAATGAATGTATGTGTGTTTTGTGTGTTCGCAATTTTTCTTCCACGTTTTCGGGCGCACGGATCTACCGATTTAAATGGCTCAAACAGCATTCGATTTTTATTGATAAGGGCATGTGCTGATTAGTTTTTGGTAAAAGCAGCTCTTGCCGTTATGGAGATTCGAAGCAAAGAGTGCAGAAAATATAACTTTAATTTTTGAACGAAGTATACGATTTGAATGATCCAAAAAGCAATTAATTTGTAATGATTGGGGAAAGTGATGGTTAGTTTTTGGCAAAGACAGGTGCAGCCATTTCGAAGATACAGAGCTAAATGTATAAAATATTGCAGATTTTGAGAGAACTAAGCATTCTATTTGAATGATTCGGAAAACGTTCTGTTTTTGTTAACAAAACAACTGCTTTTGGGAAAAAAATCACTTTTTTTTCTTCAATTTTTTTTTATCGAAAGTGATTTAGATTTTAATTTTAATTCTGGTTAAATTTCTGAAGCTCACTCATATACTTTAAATAAATAATTTTAGCTTTGCAATTTAGTTCATATAATTCTTATAAATATTTCACAATGGTAGCATTTAAAATAATCTCTTTGCAAACATTCAACATTCCTTAAATATTTCGTTACCGTAGGAGAAGTTACAGTAATTTGTCTTAAAGCACGATGCCATACACACTAGTTATTTTTTTATAACCTTGAATAAAGATGACATTCACCAAATGTCATGGGCATTATTAATATAAATGGAATATTAAAAATCATATTAATCGGTTCAGCCGTTCAGATTCATACAGAAATACATATACAATACGTACATAAATTCATCGATTCTTACAAGTGTGCTTGTTGATTTTAACCAAATTCAAATCTCTTTTTTAGTAATTACAATGATTTATTCTATGAGAATATTAAAAAACAAAAATAAAATATTTTATTAACTGTATTATTAAAAAAAATAAAAATATTTATGATTGTTACTACATATTGTAAGTAAACTTTTTAAACTTTAGCAGAAAATAATTTCATTTCGTTTACATTTCTAATATAAACGCCTGCTTTTAAGGTATATCACCATTTATTCAAATTACTAAAATTAGTATAGAGTAAATAAAATTATTAACATTTATATATTTATTTTCACTTGTTTACAAATACACAGAAGCTCGAAATAACCAAAAACTATATTCTTTATTGATTTGTTACATATTTGTGTTTTGCTAATATTTACTAATACGAGGAAAACATTTTTAATCACATAATATTACATTAATTTGATTGCTTCAATTAAAACCAACAAACATAATAAATTCTGATGATAAACCTTACTAAAAATCACTTATTTTCATCACTACTTCCAGTGCTCCCAGTAAAAGCATATCTTATTCCCAATCCCAAATTTCGGCTTAGTGTTCTTATCCTATCTAAATTATATGATTCTTCATTTCCACCTGGCAATAATTTGTTGAAGTTTGTACATGCTTGAATAACGGTATCATTAATTTCATTGTGAAGTATAGAAAAAGTGATTTCTTCTAAGATGCCAATTTTCTGCTCAACTCCGTGAAAATTAAATAAATTATTTGGCCATTCTTTTACATCCACAACTATGGTAAAGTTATAGTCTCCCGCTGATCCAATGATTTCTGTATGATTACCTTCTGGATTGGGCCGAAATTTCATAATATGCAAGTCTTGGGTATCTTTATATATTAAATATACATGTATAGGCCTATTTTTGTCATATTTTGCACAAACGTATGAAGTATAAACAGTTTTCAGGACATCAGGAATTTGAGCTTTGATATCCAACAAAACTGGATCAGAAATAAGTCCTAACAAAGCTTCGACTTCTTTCAATAGAAATAGCGTTTGAATGGAATATAATTTGTCGTGATTTTTTAATGCTTCAAAAAGTAAATTCATATTTTTAACCCAAATATCTGTATTTGAAGTACATTTCAATGCTAAAAGCATGGGAAATGATACTAGCTCCTTGTAACTTTCAAATTCATAAGATGTGTATAATTCTATAACTTCTTGTATGACCTCTTTAGTTAATTCTTCATTGATTTTCATCAATTTATCAATATTATCATGTTGCAAAATAATATCTGATTTTATAAATTGCTTCAGTAACTTTTCAAGACTTTCTGATCTCGAGTCATCTTCAACATGTACCAGTTGTTGATTGAGAAAATCAGTTTCTTCCAGTTTTATGTCAATTTCTGAACTATTCAAGTTGTTTTGTAAAATACTTATAAGAATTTTAGATACACGTAAACTCTCATCTAGTGGAGCATTGACCAGAAATGTTATTGTTGTGAAAGGATCAACGATATAATGCAGTCCTATGATTTCTATTAATAATGGATCATCACCTATTTTGTCTAATGTTGGTTGAATTTCATCTGCTGTTCCATTAACAATGTCAAATGCAAGTTGCAATTTAAGTTTCTGCTGACTTTGAACATTTTCAGGGCAATTTTGTATCTGCAACTCCAGATCTTCTACGATGTTTTCATAGTTGAGCATGGAAACATTTGAGTTACCAAATGTGACATTACTGCTAGATTTTACGTTTTGAATTATGCTTTTCAAATTTTTCAGAATATTATATAATGCATTTTCATTACATTGTCTTTCAGCAAATGCAGATAAAACACCTACCAGAAAAAAGAATATGCTTGTTCGTAAATAAATCTTCATATCTAAGAAATTCAGACTTTTGAAAAAATATTATCACTTATTTATTCACTTCATAAATAACACAACTATTTAACGTATGATTTAATTCCAGTTATTTTTGTATGATGAGAATTGCTGTTTGTTTTCATTAAGCACAATAAATAAATAGCATAAATTATTGCTAATGTTATGAGTTTTATATGTTATTTCGAGGCCGTTCATATTATATGTTTTTGCAAAAAATTACACTGAAATGCAATTAAATTATAATTACATAGAAACGATTCGTTTAAATCAATATTTTGATTCGATAATGAACTGCTTATTGATAAAGTGCATTTGATCAAGAAGATGAACTATGAGATAGTAATGCGTTTCCAAATGATTATGTCTTAAATTTTGACCGTCGGTTTTGTTATTCGAGACTACGAATTTTTATTCATAATCAAAAAATGAACAATTTACATAGTAATCCAAATAACCACAAATTTATTATTATTTGTTTATGAAATAAATTGACAAGAAAAAATCTGCAGAGAAATTAGGTATGAGATTTTACTTCATTAGGTTCGAAAGTTACTTGATAGCTTTGAATTTTTTATGCCAAATAAAAAAAAACAAAACTTACGAAAATATTTCTTTCTAATAATCTTTGAGGTTTCTCAATTTTTTAAATATATTGAAATTATATATAAAATCAATTTTTTCCTAATAAATAAAATGAATCCAAACATTCAATAAAACTCAAATTATCTAAAAATTACAAATTAAGTTGGATCTGAAAACAATTTTATTTATCTATTATGAAAAACAGAAATTACCATCATTACCAGATCGTATTATACGATATAAAATTGCCTATAAAGCTTATCTTTTGAGCTTTTGTTTTCATTATCAAAAATTTTGAGTATCCTATATTCCATTTTTTGAGTATTAATGATAATGTTTCAATTAAATTGATTGATTGATTGAATAATTCAGAATTTTTTGGAAAATTAAGAATTTGAAGAAAGTTAAATTTTTGTATATGTTATTTGATTAATTAGTAAATATTTTGGATATAACAACTTTATTATTTTTCCAGATCATTTATTTTATTGATCTAATATTTTTTATAAATCAAGATAATAAGTTTTTAGGTTCTAATGACAACGCTAGTTATTATTGATATTGATCCTCACATATTTATTTAGATATTGATTTGCTTTGTAAAAATCTATACCGAGTGTTCCAATTTAGTAAAACAGAAATCTAAATATTTATATTTCAATATTTTCTTTTATCGTAGAAAACATAGATTAATTTCCGATTTTTTTATACCTCATAAATATATTTGTATATGATAGCGAATTATTATTATATAATAGCCATACTAGAGTTTATAATTTTTTAAATTTGTAAAATACCTTTCTCTTAGTAAACGTTTTCCAAATGATGTAACAAAAATTTTATTAATATATTTTATCGCTAGGGTTTTTTTGATATAATTATTTTGACATAGTTAATTTATATTTATATTTTTATAATTTTTACTCGCCTTGATTTAGCAACAATTAAAATAAATAAATTGTTAACAAATACATTCATGTCTGATGTTTGTATTTATTTTCGAATTGCTGCAATAAAAGAGTTCAGTTACTAAGTTTAAAAATTTATTACAATTAAATCACTGATCATAATTTTAAGATGCATTTTGAAATATTTGTTTTCCTAATGTTTTATTATTAGTGCTCAACGTCGATATTTCTAAGCAGCTGAAGCAGTTACAGTATTATCGCCACAACTTTCGTCAATTGTGTCTTTCAATATCCTGTCGAAGTTCCGGGCTAATTGCTTAATAACTCCTAAATGTTGGGGTTTTGCAAGACCACTTGCTAAAAGTTTCTCTAAAGGTACACATCCTTGAAGGACAATATCATCATTTTTTTCGCAAAATTCGGGTATGGTTAATAAACCTAATGTACCAATTGTTTTCTCTACTCTAAAAGATTTAAGAGCATCATCCATTCCTTCTTTAGTGCTCAATACTATGGTAAAATTGTATCCTCCAGCTGGACCAACAACTAACATATGGGGACCATCAGGATTTGGTTCAAATTTTATCATACCTAGCTTACCTGTATCTACATTCATTAAATACATGTCTATGGGTTTGTTCACATCCTTTGATTTAACACAAACATTCGAAGCTAGTAGAAAATTCATGGAAATAGGGATTTGTGCTTGTATATCTAATAAAATTTTATTTTCAGGGAAAAGTTTTAACAATGCATTGACTTCTTTCAATAAGAATAGAGTTTGGATGGTATATATTTTGTCGTGTGATTTCAAACTTCCGTATAGAGCATTTAAATTATCGATCCAAATATCGAAGTTTGAAGAGCATTTTAATTCCAGAAGTAAAGGAAACAATGCTAGTTGTTCTTGATTTTCAATATTGTAGGCTGTGTGGATTCCAATAAGCTCCTGAATAACATCTTTGGTTAGCTCTTCGTCGATTTTGATTAAGTGCTCAATATTATCGTGTTGCAAAATGATATCGGTTTTTATCAATTGTCTTAACAATTTTTTAAGACTTTCTAATCTTGCTGGTTCTTTAACATTTTTCAGTTCCTGATTGAGATGACTGATCACTTCTAGTTTTGTGTCAATCTCAGTATTATTTAAATCGGTCTTTCTCAAAAGGTTGTTAAGCGTTTTTGATACACGTAAACTTTCGTCAAATGGAGCAGTAGTTAGAAATGTGACAACCGTGAAAGAATCGACGGCATAATGCAATCCTACAAATTCTTCTAATAAATGATCATCATCTATAACTTTCATTGTATTTTGGATTCGTTCTGCATCTACAGTAGCAATACCAAAAGCAAGTTGGTATATAGCTTTTAATTGATTTTGGATGTTCTCTGGGCAAAGTGCTATTTGGTTTTCTATTAATTCTACGCCATCTTCATAACTCAGCATAGATTTATATAAATTGAAAGCTTCGGACCGATTGCTAGCTTTTGTAATTTGAAGTTTGTCTCTCAGATCTCTCAAAGCTCTGTATACCTGATTTTTATCACATCCTTGATCGCCATTAATGGATATTACTGCTATCAAAAGCAAAAATATGCATGCCCGAAAAAACATTTTATATCTGAAAATGCACACAAGTTTGTAATTAACTTTTTATATTACTCAACTTTAACTAGGTAATGAATGGAAAACACTTGAAATTGTTTGCGTGATTCTAAAAACTTCTAAATAGTATTTTCAATTCACAATTGCTATATGATAAAGTTAGGTCAACACTTTAGAAATTTTGTGTTAAGAAAAATGAATATTTAGTAAATAAATTTTTAGTGAATTGTTTATAAATTGTTAGATAATTCTAAACATGATTACAAACTCAGTATAATTTAAAATAAATTCATACAAATATGAAATAACAACAAATCGAAATCAGAACATTCGTAAATTTAAATTTTTATTTTGTTTTGTTAATGCGGATTTTTTTATTACAAAACAATGACACAAAATATATTAATTCTAGTAAGAAAAAACTTGATTATAAATCTGATAGTAACATAACCGGTCAGTGGATTGACATTCCGTTAGTACATTCTATGTACTACCAAAAAATTTGCTGATCTTTCATAATGAAAGAGGAGCAAATATTAATAAAAATAAATCTGATAGTCTTAAAATATATGGAAAATACATATATGCTATCTTATTCAAAAATTGTTTCGAAAGTATTCAGAAGATTATAATACTTTATGAAAACACAATATTTATTTTGTTACTGCAAGTAGTAGACTACATCTATATCTACCATAATTTTATTTCACTTATTTTTATATTTACCTGTTAAAACACTTAACAATTCATTAAGATTTGTTCATTGATATTGATACTGGTCAATACGAAATTTACTCGAATACTGAAATAAAATTAGTTAGCCAGGCAGTATATATTATGAATTTTGTATCATCTTGCAAGAACGGTTTCTACTAAACTTATTGCGGAGATAAGATACGAAGATTTGCCAGAGGTGCAACCAAAAAAATATATTGAATTAACACTTTGATGCCGGAGATATTAAAAATAATGATCCATGCAAAAAGTATTATATCTTTTTTTTTGTTCTAAGCTTTTGTCACACACCTAAACTAAATATCCCAAAGTTTATGCAAATTACCTTCAGGCCAAAAAAAATCACTTATTTTATTTTGAAGTAATTATAATCATCAAAAAATCGAAAATGAAAATGATTGCATACTTTAATGTTTCGAAGGATTTTGAACATTTTGGCATACCGTAGAAAAACTGAATGTGTGTGTGTATGTATGTATGGATACAATTTTTTGTCAACGATTTCGGGCGCACGAATCAACCAATTTGAATAATTAAAAAAACATTCGATGTCTAATAATTAGTTTTTTGTAAAGACAGGCTCAGCCGTTTCGGAGATACGGTGGAGAAAATAGAAATTGAGTTTTTGAGAGAATGAAGCATCCGATTTGAATGGTTAAAAAAACATTCAATTTGTTATGATGTAAAAAGTGATGATTAGTTTGTGGCAAAGATAGGTTCAACGGTTTTGGAGATACGGAGCAAATAGAGAAAAAAATGGAAATTGAGTTCTTGAGACAATAGTCCGCTCGATATGAATGATTCAAAGAAAATTCAATTTGTAACGACAAGAAGAAAAGGTGATTAGTGTTTGGCAAAGACAGGTTCAGCTGTTTCTCAGAAATGAAGCAAAGAGTGCAAAAAATAGTAATTAATTTTTTGAGAAAACAAGGTACCCGATTTAAATGATTCAATTTGTAATGATGAGACGAAAAGGTGATTAGTTTTTGGCCGTTTAATTGATACAGAACAAAAAGTGTAAAATATGACAGTTTTTTAGAGAACAAAGCATCCGATTTAAAAATCATTTTATTCGTGAAAAAACGATTAGTTTTGGGAAAAAGCAAAAGAAAAAAAATATCAATAATTTTTTTTATATAAAAATGATTTTAACTTTAATTTTCAAACTCACTTATATACCTCAAAAAAATAATTTTAACTTTGCAATTTAGTTCATAAAATTCTTAGAAATATGAGGTAATATCCTCTATTCTAACTCCTCTTGATCAAGTTTTGTTTACTTACTTTGCATGTAAACCTATTTAGAAGTCATTGTCCAAATTATAAGCTCTTATATTTTGTCTATGAAATACGAATAATAATGAAAGTTACAGCATTTATAATAATTTATTTGAAAGCATTTAATATACCTCCAATATTTCATTACGGTACTCAAAGTTCCAGCAATTTGCCTTAAGGCACGATGCCATGCACCACTATTTCCGTTTTATTATTACGTCTTTTTGCAGAACTCTCAAACTTTTTGAACATTAGAGTAATTATTACATTTTATACAAATAAATTTTTTTTTATCGACGCAGCCTCAGTATTAGTCTTTTGCGCTGATGACTGCATATTGTTGAAGTTACAAAATATTAATTTAATATTTTTATTCAAACATATTACTAATATTTTGTATTAAACGAAAAAATGCATAAAGTGCAACATGGGGCAATATAAATCGATAAATGCGATAGCCGCTGTCCAGCAAAAATCATTTATCTCCCGAGGGGTAGCAATTGTTAAATAGGGTCGTAATTTCTATGAATCATTTTTACGCGAATTGTGCATATCGGACACCAGACGACAAAATGCGTTTTGTTTGTTGCCATTCATGTGACATTTTTTCCCTAAAATAATATTCTGATATATTCAAAAGAAAATAAACGTGCGTTTGGTCGATTAACTCGTGGGGTTGAACGTGTTGAGAATTATGCAAGATTTGCGATGTGACATATTATCACTGATGACATTTGCCTTGGCTTGCAATTGCGATAATTCATCATGTCGCTTTTGATAAATCATAATATTATGGTTATTTTGATATAACAAGACATAATAATTTTTTGCACTATTTACAAAGTCTAACGATATGTTTTGTTTATTTATTTTCAAAAAAAAATTTAATTTTTTTATGAACCCACTATATATAACACTTTTCATTTCTGTATATTTTAAAATATAAACAATTTTATCAATGTCAAAAGGTCAACGGTAATAATTTATATGATCATGTAACTAGTGTAAAAAGAAATTATTTCTAATCTTTATTACACTTTTTTCTAGTACAGATCAAAGACAGGTCACATTAATGATATTTTTTGTGAGAAGAAATTTTGATAATTTTTGCCAAAATTACTTTCTACATTGCATTATGATGAGGCGGGACACAAAGACCCAATTTGAGTTTGAGTAATTATATTGTGAAAACCAAGTCAATTTTATCAAAATAAACAACACATATCAAACAAACAACTATCTGACCATGTTTAGAAGAACTCCCAGCTAATCATTGTAGAAATGTGTTGCTGTTTTTCAAAAACTTGTTATCTGGTCCTTTATAATGCTTTGCTTTTAATTTTAAAGGGATTTTACGAATTAATAGCTACAATTGAACCAATGCAAAATATAAGTTTCATGGGTACATTTTTTACAGCGATTACTTTGTTTATAATCTTGATCTGGTATTTTGTCAGAAATATTTTGATAATTATATAACATATGGATAATGTACACATAAAAGTCATGTTAAGTCATGTTAAGGTCTCGTAAACTAAACAGCAGTGCTCACAACCAGAAAAACTAACAAAATAAAATTTTGTAGTGGATTTTCAAACGTTGCTGTTTGTTTCCCAATGTAATAGCTGGATATATATTTTTTTCCTTCTACTTTCAAATATAGTTGTTAAAAAATTCTCAGCTTTACTTGTTTTTGAGACATTGGTGGTGTACCTTTTTACCCGAAATATTGAAATATTCAAAAATGTTGAATATTCTACCCTGCTGCTATTTATTCAAGTACTAAAGTTAATATCTTATCGCTTAGCATTTGGTTTTTTTAAGTTTCTATAAAACTTAACCCTAAAAAAAAAGTGTTCAAGGCGGGTATAATCACAATTTTAATATATTTTCACAATGTTATGAAGCAGAAAGACCACATTCGTAATATATCGTATTATTTCAAGTCAAACATTTTTCATCCATGACACATATTTGCTTATAATCATATTTGTTTAAAAAAAATCATTTGAAATTTATTTTCATGAATATAATTTTTATGGTATTTGACAATTTTTAGTTATGATCAGCACTAGTGCGGTAGCGTAGGGTCGGCAGGACCGTCTGACCTTTGACCCAAAGTGCAGTTCGACCCTAAGGTTCACGCGACACGCGTGTTCATAGAAAATAACGAAAACATTTCCATATATTGATGGTCAAATATCTTTACGTACTTTGTTTTAACGAGAAATGTTATTCAAAATAATGCAAATAAATATTTAGTAAGAATTGTAAATAAATATTTAGTAGAAAACTTCAGTTTTTTTTAATTTACATATTAATCTATGAGTTTGATAAGATACCTCATGAAACCTTGATACAACATATTGTTCATTTTCTGATTTAAACACTGTTAAATATAAAATAAAGATTTGAAGAATATTACAAAACTTGTATACGAAAAGCTACTCTTCAATATTATACTCCTGGATATCAATCAACATGTATACACTGCACTTAAAAATTTTCAGTGTATTCATTCATTTTATCATTTTGTCGTATTTCTATACATAAATCATCTAATGAACAAAATGATAAATAAATTTTTAAATTTTTTTTAAAGTTTACTTACATATTTTTATTAAACATATTCTAATATCTTGTATGCATATAATAAAATTATTCCAAGTTTAAATTCACATTTTTACCAATTTATCATGTTCTTAAATGCTGGATAGTCCACAATATTTTTAATTAAATAATAAAAACTAGTGGTAACGGAATCGTGTCTTAAAGTAAATTGCTGGAACTTCATGTACCGTAATGAAATATCTGAAGAATGTTAAATGTTTACAAATAGATTATTATTATAAATACTGTAACTTTTATTATTCTTATTTTATAGACAAAATATAAAAGTTTATGCATTGGACAAAGACTTTTATATTAGGTTGTCAAATATCTCCCTTCCGTTTTTTTGCTCTTGAACGTATACAAAAAGGCGGAAGGGAGATATTTGACAACCTATTATATCTTTACAGAAAAGTATATAAACTTTTAAATCGGATTTAAAATGAAGGACATTGTCTAATAATTATAAGAATTATATAAACTGAATTGCAAAGTTAAAATTATCTGAAGTATGCAAGTGAGCTTTAGAACTTTAGCCAGAATTAGAATTAAAATCCGAATTATTTTCGATATCCAAAAAAAAACATTTTTTTGGGAATTAAAAAAATTTAAATAAACTAAAACTTTTTCTTCGAAGCAGGATGTTTTCTAAATCATTCAAATCGGAAGCTTACTTCTTTCAAAAACTGCCACATTTTGCACATTTAGATTCTTACACACACACAGATTCATTTTTTCAAAGGTTGCAAAATAGTTCAGAAACCTGTGAAACGTAAAGATATGCAAAAATTGATATGCTGAAATCGATTTTTGGACGATTAATTATTTCCATTATAGTATTAACTTACTCTATAGGAAGTTAATAATATAATGGAAAAATAAGTGTCTCAAACATACTAGCTGCATAATTTAAACTAAAACATTTAACTTATTCAAATGTAAAATATTAATAAAACATTGCTTTGTTTTTGCATGGAATTATCTGATTCAATTAGAAAAATATTTTATATTTAAGTTTATGAACGCGAACCTTTTCATTGTGACATGTAACTTTACCACTGATCTTGTCAGCAAAAGTCGAATCTATTGCTCGGTTAAGTATCTTAAATTTAGATTTATATATATTAAAATGGAACTAAATAATCTTAAATTATGAAACCGAAATAAAATATTTATTTTCTGTCACAAGACCGGGTTTTGACCAGCGCTGCTATTCTTTTTTTGACCGCTTGAAAACG